CCCCACCCCCGGCGTGCAGTGGCTTCCGAGAGCTTCATAATGTGGTGCTTTAACCTGTTGAGCCACCAGGGAGAGCCCTGGCCAGGTCTGTTTTGTGGACTTCAGCTGCCCCCTCCCCGAGGGCACTGTGCTGAGACCCCGCAGGCGGAGTCAGTGCCTGCACAGCCAGGCTCTGTTGTTACTTCTGTCTCATCTGCAGTCACGCTGACCTGTCGTGTTCCCCCAAGCAGATGAGAACCCCAAGCAGCACGTGCCCCTGGACGAGTACATCGCGAACGTGAAGAGCATGGTGCAGTACCTCAAGGCCGTGGAGGTCCCTGAGAGCAGGATCATTCTCATCACACCGCCCCCACTCTGCGAGCCCGCCTGGGAGCAGCAGTGCCGCCAGCAGGGTGAGCCACGGCCCGCGCATGGGGGGGCTGGCCAGGGTGGACGCACCTGACCACCCAGCCCGCCGGCTCGGGGCCTCGTCGCCATGGGAGAGGGGCTCTCTGGGTGAGGCAGCCTCAGGCTTGGATTTCGCCAGACCCCAGGGTGACCTAAAGCCAAGGCTCCCAGCAAAGTTGGGGGCGGACACAGACATCCACCGTTGGGGCGTCTTCTGGCTTCACAGCCACGCGGCCCCTGCAGTCGCGCCTCCAGGCCCCACCTGTGTGGCCAGGAGAGGCGCTTTTTCCCGCTTCTGTGGCCACATCAGCTGCCTGTGATGGTTCCTCCCTGCGCCGGGCAGAGCGCGTTGTGTCTGGTGACTGTAGGGCTCTGCCCAGTCCCTGCCAGGTGCGCTTTGTCCCCAGAGATTGCACCTCTCGGCACCTTCCTGTGCTCGGCCTAGATTGGGCCAGATGCTCAAGGTGTAGAAATGACTAGAACCAGTTTCTGCCTGCCGGTGAGGGTGGCAGCGGGCTGCTAAAGCTCTGCTGAAAGCACCAAGCATGTCGAGGAGACGCATGGGGAGGCTCCCGGGGCTGCGAGGCCAGGAGGTGCTCCAGGGGCCGTGAAAGTGAGTGGCAGCTCGTGTTCTGCCTTGTGGGATTGCCTGAGGCAGGGAGCTGGGGGCCAGGGGGGTGGCATGGGAGAGCCCCCCACACCACACCTTGGCCCTGGTGTGTGAATCTGGCTGTGCTGGTCGGGGCCTCCCCGATGGCTGCTCCCAGCCCTCTTGTGGGGCATAAAACGGAGTCAACGCTAAGTGCTTGCAGCGTGGACCTGTGGCAGCCACTGCAGTGTGGCGTGAGGCCGCGTTCACAAGCTGCGGTTCTGGTCCATCAGTAGTCACTGGGCCTGCTGACAGGCACCAGAGATGTAGTGCGTACAAGCGGACGCTGTGTGGGCCAGGTGTACGCAGTCACAGCTGGCACCCCATGGCCCTGCACGCCCTCGGGCTCAGGACTCCTGGGGGCAGGGGGCTGTGGGAGATGTCTTGGAAGCTGCTTTAAGGTGGTAGAAACGCCAGGTTTGGGCTCCATCCCAGACCCGGAGTCAGAGCTTAGGGGATTCCAGATGTGCACCTGCATCCGGGGCCCTGGCCAGTAGTTGGGCGTGGCAGGCCAGGCCGCTGGAGGTGCCCGCTGCTGCCCCGACAGCCAGCTCTTGCCTCGCCTGCTCGCGGGCTCCATGCTGGGCAGGTAACTGGCAAGAGGCTGTTTCTTACCCAGCCCTTGCAGTGGTTCACTGGCCCAGAGTGAGCGAGCCTGTGTGTGGCGCAGCCCTAGGCTGACCCCGACGCGCCTCCCTGACCCTACAGAGGCCTGGTGCCCGGTGGTGGCCCCTACAAGGTCAGGGGAGGGGTGCAGGTGCTGGCTCACTGGAACCGAGACTGGCACTAGGGCCAGCCTGGGAGTGACCAGCTGCCAACTGATCTGTCCCCTCAACAGGCTGCAGGTTAAACCGCTTGAACTCAGTGGTGGGAGAATACGCCAGCGCCTGTGTCCAAGTCGCCCAAGACTGTGGGACAGACGCCCTTGACCTGTGGACCTTGATGCAGAGGGACGGTCAGGTAGGCGGCCCAGCGGCCTCCCCACAGGGTGGTGTGAACAAGACACACGTAAGTGGCCTTGCTGAAGGGCTCTACCCTGAGTAGGCACCAAACCGTCAGGACAGAGGAGCTGGGGTGGCTTCAGGCCTGTTCCTTAGCCCTGAGCAGGGCCCTAATGAGCATCGAATCCAGAGTGACACTTGAGCAGAAGGGGCTGCAGCCACACAACACCCAGGCCGGGGGGTGGGGGGGGGCGCACATGCGCAGGAGGGCTAAACTCGGTACCAGTGGGACAGGGAGGTGGCATCTAGTCTCACTGTTGTGTTCTGTCCCCCCACCAGTTTCCTCGCCCATGTGGGCTCCCAGGGGAAAGCAGATTCAGGAGCAGCTACGGCAGGAGGGAGGACTGGAGTCCCTGGCGTAGAAGGCAGAGGCCACAGGGCTTTCGGCTGTGGGGGAGCTCGCCTCCCGCTTCTCGGCTTTCCAGTGCCGTCTTCCTAGCAACACCTTGTCTGTCTGTCTGGGTGACACCTAGACGCGCTAACGCTGGCCCCAGCTGGCCTTTCCTCTCGCGGCTCTGTGACACAGGCGGGCGACGCTCACCTCTGCCTTCTCTCCCGACAGGATTTCTCCTCCTACCTGTCAGACGGACTGCATTTGTCGGCAAAGGGAAATGAGTTTCTGTTCTCTCATCTTTGGCCTCTCATAGAGAAGAAAGCCTCCTCCCTGCCTTTGCTGCTCCCTTACTGGCGAGATGTAGCGGAAGCAAAGCCGGAACTGAGCCTTCTGGGAGATGGTGACCACTAGTCGGGCCGTTCCTCAGGACAGCGCCAAGAGCCAGATAAGCTGCTAACGAATATTGTTTGTCACCCTGGGCCAAACCGCCACCATCACCCCCAGATGAATAAAAGCATTAGAACTCCTCAGGGGAGCTTGGTACCGTGGTTTGTTTTGACAGTAACATTTATTGATTGCTGTAGGTGTCATCGGTGCCACAGCTATAAAAAAATAACCCTGAGTGAGCAGCTTGTTAATTCTGCAAGTGGAAAAAAGGTAAAGGCAGTTTTGTTTAAAAAGTCACAATTTTATAAAAAAAGTGGCCTTACATTCACTGGGAATTGCTGCGCTCACACACGCCCCCTCACCACGTCAGGCCGCCCCCAGGTGAGCGCCAGCCGATACCGCGGGGTACAGGTTTCAAGTATTAGAAAAAACACGGCGTCACAGGTTTGGTTAGTTGCCCTCAGTTGACAGGTTTCCCAGTGAAGATCTTGGCTGATGAGCACATTGCAGTATGGGGGGGGGGGGGTCCACTTTTAGGGAAACCAGAACCCAGGCTGATGATTTTCACCTTCAGGCGCCCACAGCACGTAGCCAAGTAACATGAGGGGCCGGCTCGGGGTGCAGCCTGTCCCCAGCCCCGGGCCTTGTGGAGGGAAGGACCTCACAGCCCTTCAGCCGGTGTTGGGAAGGAGGCTGCTGTGGTCACACTGAAGTAGCACAGCTGCCGGTGCCCTGTGCTGCTCCTAGAAACATCCACCTTCTGGGGACAACTTGGTTCGTCCCCTTTGTCTTTACAAAGAAAAACTGCTGCGCTTGTTCTCAGACTTGGCTCATCCGTGGATCATTACAGTGAGTTAAAAAAGTCTCCCTAATGGGTGCTGTTATCAATATAAAAGGTTAATTTACAAAAATGTAAATATTTATGACCTAACCCAGCTGTATTTTCTGCTTTTGCACCACAGGTTGAAGGATATTTTTAACATTAAAAAAAAACTAAAACCTGAAAGCCTCAAAATAAGCTAGATCCGCCTTACCTCTTCCAGGGGAAACGGCCTACGCACGGTGGCGGCAGAGAGAACGTCCACGTGCGTGACCGGCAGCTGCTGCGAAGTCACTTCCTCCTGTCCCCCCAATCTCCACAAAATCAAGGCAGCGATTTTAGGTCAAATCTACAAAATGCCTTGGCACCAAGCCGGAGCAGGGGGCCCCGCTAGCACTCCGTTTCTTTGCTGTCTACGCGGTTCTGCCGCTGCAGCTTAAAGGAGGCGGCCTTGTCACTTCTGGTGACCGGACGGTCTGTGAGGTCCTCAAATGACTTAGCAGCTGTGCTGCTGTTGGGGAAGGGGTCCTTCTCGAAGCCGTCCTCGTCCACGTGCGAGTCCGTACTGGGGTCTTCCTGGATGGTATCCATTCGCTGGTGATCCAGCTTGGGAGCTGCGGGCGCCAGGGGCGCCACAGGGGTGGGCTGCAGGGGCTGTAGGCGGCCTGGAGTCTGGGGTGCAGGAAAGGGCTTGATGATCCGAACTGAAGCGGAATCCATGCTGCTGAGCATTTCCACGTTCTAGAAAGACAGGAGGGAGAGATGCATCACAGGCACTCCGCCCCAGCCTTACCCAACAGCCTCCTGCTGCCACGATCCCTCAGGCTTAGGCAGTCACAGGGGCAGGGGGGCGGCACCCACAATCTCAGAATCAGCACCCCTCGCTCTTGCCAGCTCCACGGGGCAGCCAAAGTGTGAACCTCGGCGCTGAACAGCTTTATCACCCCTGGCGATGCAGGGAGAGCCACGCCCTGACAGGTCACGGAGCCAAAGCAAAGGCCTTGCTTGCCGCTGTCACGGGAATTCACAGCAACACCCTACTCCACCTCCCTGCGGAACCGTCCCCCCTGCGCCCCGGGACACAGACGAACGGTGGGGTGGTGGAGGATGGGGCCAACTGCAGGCCACTGCTTGGCCATTTGCCACAGTGAACTTACACTGGGGTGGAAGAGAGACAGAGACTCGTACTGCTTGTCCAATTTCTTGTCCTAGAAAGGCAAGAACAGCAGAGATCACTTCTGCGCGCGAAGCCAGAGAGGTGCTTTCCTTACAGGTCAGTGACCGGAATGCTCCGCGGATACAGCGCAGCGGGTTCAACAGACAGGACTGCCCGTGCCAGGAGCCCCTGGCAGCCCCGCCCCCGCATGCAGGCCCTTCTTCCTGGAGTGCCCCACTGTGGGCAGAACAAAGGCATCTCCCCATGTGCAGGGCTCACATACGTGCCCAGGCCCTGGACATCGGGCACTGCTGCAGAAAGGCCAGAGGAGGAGCAGTGGGCACTCGCTTCCCAGGCCCCAGGTTCTACCCTCCTCCGCCCCCTGCAGGGGGGGCAGGACATGTGCATCAGGCAGGTGGTCACCCCTGAGAAGGGCCAGGCTTCTCGTCTAGCTGCCTGGAGCTGATTCTGTGGTCAGAAACAAGTCGCCTCCCTGTGCACCCATCAGTGGCTTTGCTCAGAGGATCAGGTTTTAAGGAGAAGTGGCCTGGGCACAATGCCACCCACCTGGCAAAGCTTCAACTACACCACATGGATCTATTTAAATAGCAGAGCTGCTCCCTAGAGAACTTCCTTCCCACGCCTACAAGTGCACCCCAGAAAGCTGGGCCAGTGCGTGCTCCATGTTGCCACTGCAGAACAAGCCCCTTTTCCCAGAGAAAGTGAAGTGAATGTGAGAAGCGTTGAAAATGGCCCCGAGCTCCTAAAATACTGGGAGACTGACCCCTACCCTGTGGCCCCGGAATCTAGATTGTGTGGGGGTGGCGCCTGGGAATGCTGGTGGTTCACGTTTGCACTATGACCGTGAAGTAGCCTAAGAACACTAGACGCTTCACTCCTGAACAGTCCTAGACAAATCCAGACCAACAGTCTGCTGGAAGCATGAACACTGCCGTGCACACAAAGGTGTAATTTTTTAAGACAATTAACTAAACTTTTGAAGATTTGTGTTGCTCTTGATAATACCAAACCTACTAGAACTCTCAGCTCAGACTGCTGTGAACAGACTTTATATCTTTTCTAAAGGTTACATGCTTGGAGTTGCTAAAAAGTGCAATAAAATATTTCACTACTTACCACACAGTGGACCAGAATGCTGAAAGGAATCCAAAATATCAAGGAGAAAACTAACACGGAGCCCACGATATTGTCTGCCAGAAACTTCCCTGTAAACAGTTTTTGAGAATTTTCAAAGTTAGAATCAAAGTATTGTCAAGCCCAAAGGCTGCGGGTTAGGTAACGCCAGTGACATGGAAACTGAGCCCACCTCTGCAACCACGCAAGACCCGCCACCTCCCAACAAGCACTTCCAGAAATAGCTCTGATGTAGGTGCGAGAGAGAGCACTCTTTTGACTCAATGCTGAATCCAGACTACATCCCGGCGTCTGTAAAACTCGAGGCCTGTCTTCACGTGACGGTCTTGCATCAACCAGGTCTCAGGCTGCTGCCGTGTTGGCTTCACATTCAGTAACGAAGGCGGCCAGTATTTTGACGAAGCGTTGACTGCCTGGACTGCTCTCGAACAAGCCCACTTTACTCTGGCCACAAACTTGCCCTAACAAAAGCGGGCTTTCATCCGTGTGCATCACAGCCTATCAGCACAGCCGCCCACGTAGCCACAGCACAGGACCTGCCCCTGGGGGTCACTGACCGAAAGTGTTGATGCTCAGCTGGTCGATGAAGTCCCAGAACCGCTCGATCACATCCTGTACTCGTTTCTCACATTTGCCCTGTGAACAGAGAGCACAGGTTACCCTGGCACTGAGTGGCATGTTTAGAAGCAACATGGTTCATTAAGAACCCACATCCAGGGACCCATCTGAACGCTGGGCAGCACGTGTAAATGAGGCCCACAAACGTAGAACGTCCTGTCACTGACCCTTGGCCCATCAGTCCATGAATTCAGACTCATGAGACTCCCTCAAGGAAAAACGGGGTGTTAACTACACTGATAACACAGGGTGGACTGCAAGGACCTGGCCGGCTGCCAGGAGAGGCCTCTGCACGCTCACATCCTCGCCATCACTCTGCATGAACAGGAGTCTCACTGCAGAGCAGGGGAGCCTGACAGGAGGGAAGAAGTCTTCTTCATACAGCATCGTTTCAAAACCAAAACCTGCAATTCTGTCATCTTTATTTATAATTAGCCTGGAAACCCAAATACGACCCACTGCCTCAAACTGACCATGTTATCAAAAAGTGCCCCCAGGTCCTGCCCAGCCTAGGGCTCAGGGGACCCTGCTGTTCCGGCCCAGCGGCGCGTGGCCACCAATCCTCAAGCTAAACAACTTCATGAGGAAGAGTGGACAGAACACAAAGAAGTGCTTGGCACTTCAGTGACAACACCTGTCGCAGTGCACACTGGGGGACAGGAGCGGGGATGGGGGTGCGCCTCAGTTTGTGGATCACTGAGGGGTCCTGGACAAACCGTCGGGTAAGGGGGACTATTGTGTTCACAGTAAACAACCTTCTGTCTGGGTGCTACAGGAACAGCTGCACATACATCAGTACTCACATTCATGTCACAGAATCCCACCGTGCAGGGCTTTCCTTTCCTCAAAAATAAGTGCTTCTGTTCAGCGTCGACATAAGGCACACACCGGCCAGAGGGGTCCCTGCAGCACACCTTGCATGAGTGGTCAGTTTCTGGAACAGATGTCAGTTTTCTTGGATGACTCCCCACATTCTCCAAAAGGAAGGAAACGAATTCCTATTTCAAAAGCTAATGCACCCGTATTTCACCCCCGCGGGAACAGCCGAGTTCACACTAGTTAAAGAGGCCACATGTGGGGCAAACTGACACAGGCACGTTCCCTTTAGAAGTTACGGCCTCTTCAAAGCCGAATCGTACTCTACTGCGGATCGCCCACGAAGGCGAGTGTCCTCTTTCATCCCAAGGACTAAATGTTCCCAGTGCATCCAGGCGGTCAAAGCCCCAGGCAGGGCCAAAGCAGACTGACAGCGGCCCTGGAGACGCAGATCAGAGTAGCCGCAGGTGGCGTGTGCGCCACAGCCTTGCTTCCTGGAGACGACCTCCCCCACATGTGGGCGACCAAGAAGCCAGGGTCACATGACCAGGCGGTCCGTCTGACGTGGGGAAGCCTGTGCCTACACTTAGGAGAAACTAAAAATGGAAAACAGACCCCTCTCCCTCCACAGCGCCAGCACCTCCAGGCATCCACGCAGCCTCTGGGGGCACCACGCCTCTGCCCCGGCTCACTGGGTGAGCTCCCTGGCATCTGCTCTGCTTTACTCACGTTGCCCCATAGAAGAGCCACTCGCCCCACTGGACAGTGACATTCCTATCGGTAGCTGTGACTTGTGGGTCTTATTCTGAGCCACCTCCAGCAGGCCTGGCCCCAAGGGCCCACTTCAGAGACCCCCAAAACGGTGTCCAAGAGGACAGCACAGTGCCGCCAGCAACAGGGCGTGGCGGAGAGCAGGTCCAACCTGGCTGCTCAGCAAGACTAACACTGTCGGTGAGTCAGATCCTGGGGCCCCTTGGCAGGCTGCCTTCCCGCAGGGGCCCGACTTCCAGGCCTGCGGAATGCAAAGAGCGCCCCCTGCACTGTGCCCAACACTGGAGGCGGAGCAGGGGGCCTCCACACCCTCTCAACGCCAACAAAAACCACTCCTTTCCACCCCGCCACACGGTCTGAGCACAAAAGGAAAACCAACAGGCCAGTGTTCACAGACAGGTGCAGGAGCAGAACCTGAATTCCGAGGGGTCCCGCACCCCCGCACACCGCCCCAGGCTCACCGTTACAGGCACAAGACTCCAGCTGCTGCTCCCGCTCACAGAAGGGAACGCACTTCCCGTCCTTGCACCTGCCCAGGTCCAGGCACACGGTGTCGTCCGCTGCGTCTCCAGGAGGGGGGCACTCGCTGCTGTTCCCTGGAAGCACACAGTCACCATGGGCCTGCAGCCACCTCGCTCCCTCCGAAGAAATGAGCGTCCTGCCTCCCAAGAGCAAAGGTGACCGAGGGAGGACAGCTCCGCCAGCAGCGGACACGGAGCATCTCCGAAGCTTCCGAATGTCCGCGCTCAGTCCCGCAGCGACCCAGTCACCGGCATTTCCCAGGGACCGTGGTTTCCCTGCGGGTGCAGGCGGACACGCTCACTGCATACCATCATCACAAGAGCCGGTGCACCCCAAGTGCCGCCCCACAGGCTACGGCCTGCGGGGGCCACAGAAGCAGCCTGGGCCCTCTCCTCGCTATACCACATCCCCAGAGCCGGCGGCCGCGACAGCCCCTCTCCACCCGCACGCACTGCCGTGCCCAGACTGCTCTCTCCTCCGCTTTCCTCAGGGCGGGAAGGGAAGCGGTCATGCACTCGCCTGTGGCTGCCTCTCAGACACCCTGAGCACTGCTCCCACCGAGCTCCCCCACTCCACTCCTGCCACTCACCCCCTCAGACACACCGTATTGTCCACTTCTGCGCGGCTATCTAGCCATTTCCTGCCCCCTCCCTGCCCGAGACTGCCACACTCTGTCCAGGGCCACCAGCGCAGGCGTTCCGCATGCACCTCCCAACTGCATCTACAACCTTAACAGAAAAGCAGCCGCAGCAGCAGGGCACTGGGGAGAGAGGAGTGAGTGACTCGTTCTGGAAACAGCGGTGCAGATCAAGTCAGCACAAGAAGGAACTAGGGGCCGACTGGATGGAGACGTGGCAAGTGCAGACTTGTGCTCGGCACGTCAGTGACAGCACCTTGTCACTCTGGGGACATGGGGGCGGGGGGACTGGCCTTCCCAGGGGCGTGTGGAGCCAAGCAAGAGACACAGGACATGAAGGAGCATGGAGGGTCACCATACCCCGTGACCTGCCCTATTTCAAACAAGAGCATCTCCCGAGAAGCACCTCACAGTACTGGACACCACGGTGGGCTCCCCTCTTCGAGAACAGTACCAGTGGGGGCGGCTGTGGAAGCAGCACAGCAAGCGTGGGGTGAGCTCTGCCTGAGACCAGTGTAATTCCACCGTGATGCCGGAACGGACCCCATGGTAATGCCTGCTGAATGTTTGCTGGAACACTCTTTTTAAGACTAAAATCAGAGTATCAGACACAGGAAAATTGAAGAGCCTCTGAGCCTCTTCTGAGGATGCTGGCGGGGTCCCCGCGTGCGGCTTGGGGAACGGGCACGTCAATCACCTGACTGAGCACGGGCCGACACCCTAGCAATGGACCAGACACCCGTCACAGAGCAGGCCGTCTGTTAAATCCCAGCAGTGAGCTTTTTCCCAAAAAGACCTGAGGTGGGATCTCTTGCCATATTCCACAGACACGCACGGACACTGCACTGTCCGGGGGCAGGTGTGGACAGGAAGGACGTGACACAGAGCCGAGGGGCGTGAAGGGAAAGACGTGGTTGAAAGGGAGAACAGGGCATGCCGGGTCCTGTGCAGACAAGGGCCACCGGTGCCCCACCCCTGGTCCTGTGTGCCCCTGCCAGGGCTGCCTTTGTCTTGGCCCTCGCGCCAGGAACTGGGCAGAGCTGCCCTAGAGAGCCAGTGGACGCACCTGTGCAGTAAGACACGCCTTTGCAGGTCGCGTTGATGGCCTCCTGGCACTTCTTCTGGGCGGTCTCAAACTGACAGTTCTTACAGCAAGGACTGTTCCTATCGCTGCAGAGGGGGAGACCGACGAGAGCCGCACATCAGACACGTCGTGCACCAGCCCGGAAGCCCGCAGGGGAGGCGTGGGCTGCCATGCAGAGGAGGCCCAGAGGGGTCTTTAAGCCTCTTGCTGTCCTAGGTTTGCATTAACTTAATAGTTAGCAATAAAACCCGTGGGCCTGCAAGGCCACCCGCCTCAGCGGGGAGGGCAGCGGGTAGCTGGCCCGCACAGCTTCACGGGCACGCAGAGTAGCCGCACTGCTGCGCTCACCTCGGCCTGGTCCGCTCACCTCCACCCGAGGCACAGGCCTCCCAGCATGAAGTGGAACACAGGCCGCTCTCACCACCCGCCCATAGCTAGCGCGTGTCACCCAGTCTGCGACAGCACACTCCTCTCGGACACACAGCGCTCGCCTGTGGCCGCTGAGACTCAGCCCACTGCCCCCATAACCTGCTGCCGTGAAGGGCCGCCGCGTCAGCATCTCTGCCAAACCCTGGACACCTGCTCCCTGAGAAAGTCTCTGAACCACGCTGGACTGGAGGTGGAGGGGCGGGATGTGGGAAAGGCGCCTCCCGGGAGCATTTCTCTGGCCCCACGGCCAAGGGGGTGCAAGCGCACCGCGGCTCACCTGCACTGCACACCAGGCTTCAGCGTACAGTCGCTGTTGCAGCAGGTGTCATTGTTCAGGTACATGATGCCCGGGTCACACTGCTCGCCGTCGTCCACGCGCGAGTTGCCACACACCCGGTTGCTGCGCTCCTGGAAGCACTCGTGGGCCTTGCTCTCGATGGTCTTGTAGATAGACTGCTTGCTGCAGTTGGAAAACATCTGAAGAGGAGAGCCGCAGGGGCCCAAAGTGAGAGGCTGAGCCCACCCCACGCAGCGCCAGCACACAGCTGCAGGGCCAGACAGTGCGTGCGCTGCCGGGCACCTGCAGGTGCACTTACGGGATGTTCTCTCCAGAGGGAGCGAGAGGTGGCTGCGCAATTCGTCACAGCAAAGTAGCTAGACCACCACAGGGTCTGAGACCCCAGCCTCCCCTGCTGGGCGCACAGTGGCTGTCCCATGCTCAGGCCGCCGCCACTGCATCCGGACAGACAGGCCCAGACCAGATGGAGGCCGGCAGACATGGGCCCTGTTCCAGCGCCTCCTGCCTTGGTTGTGTGAGCAAATGACCTACATTTCACGTTTTTAAGTGGCTGAGCCGGCAGGACAGGAGATGGTCTACTGAAGAATTCATCCCAAACGGCTACCTAAGCATTCCTCTAGGTACCTCAGTTTGGAACAGTCCCCGAGTTTTATAAGTCGCCCAGCATCTGAAAGGAAACCTGCGAATCAAAGAATCGGCCCCTTTATGTTTCGGGGCTTCTCTCGGGGCCCAACGATGGAATCCCTTTTCCAAGCCACCCGAGATTACCAAGGGCAGCTGGAACACAGGACAGAGCCAAAAAGAACAGGAGACCCCACTTTCATCGCCTCGCACCCAGAGGGCTGCGGTGGCCTTCTCTTTGGCACCGCCACCCCCCTCCTGCGGCGCACCACCTGAGAGACGGCAGTCCTGACTGCCACAGCGCTTCTCAGTGGCTCGTGTGCTGGCAGGGGCCTTCCCCGCCTCTGGGCTGAGGTACCGCCTTACTGGTCTTGGAGCTCTTTTTACCTAGCTAAGCTTTCATTAGAATTAAGGAATTCATTTAAAATGTTAATTAGAAGACGCCCAGTATCTTTTTTCAAAGGAAACCTATACGAGGGTAATGCAACCTACTGAAAATGGCACATCAAGACAGAGGAGGTGAAGGCAACTCTCTATGACACAGCGTGGCTCCAGGACAGGCTGGGCCACTGTTCTCATACGCAGGTGCCCCCAGCTGTGAAGCGCAGGCTCACTGGGGACGGTGTCTGGCTCTACACCACCCACGTGGAAGCCACCAGCACCGGCCACATGTGGCAACCAAAGTTTACGTTTACTAGTCCTTGCCTCATACTTTGTGACAGAAATGTTTAAACTTCTAGAAAGTCTGCAGAGCGGATGGTGAAAAGACAGAGGCTCCCCCTCGGCTCTGTGGCTCCCCATACCCTGACCACTCTCTGCTCCCACATGGTCTTACTGAGGCACATAAAATTTCCTCAAGCACTAGTTGGTGCCAGGCACCCCACTGCACAATGGACACGTAGGTGGACAGAAGGCCTGGGCCCTGGCCACAGGAGGCTGCTAGTTTGGAAAACTATGTATTTTGTTCTAGTTTATGAAAAACTGCAAATCATGAAGTCCTGGTGAGATAAAAAGAGTAACAACTGAAAATTTGTTCAGCAAGTGGTGCTGGGAAAACTGGGTAGCTACATGCAAAAAAATGAAACTAGATCATTGCCTCACTCCA